CACCAACGTGGATACCTGGGGGCGTGGGTTTCGAAACAGGTACTACAGTAAGAGCTGAGACAAACAAACACACATTATCCCGCACACAACTACAGGACACACAGAAAATAAATCAGGAGCCATTGCATTTGAGTAGTGGAATCAAGAGACCCACCGCAACAACAACAACACGAAGAAGAAGAAGCTTGACACTGCACGAGAGGCATTACGCAGCGGCTCGTGGAAAGAAAATCAGCCCGCCAAGTACAGTAGTGTGGGCCCGGAGGGAAAAAGAAAAACGTGATAATGGGGTCGAGGCTCTTATCTCGTCGCGACCGTTGAGCACAAGCAGGTACCAGTTACATATTTCGTCGCCACCGCTGACCACAGATATAAACCGCCGAGCCAGCCCTGTTTCCTTGGCTTTGCGAAAAATTGAGCCTGCCTCTCTGGTTCTTAGGGCCGTTTGAATCATGGCTTTTTATTCCAAGTGTTGTCCAAATTCCCAAAGTTTGGAAGTCATCGAAATTTTTCAAAACTTTTGCTAAATTTTGCAAGTGACCAGGGCCCCAGAAGCGGTACTGCTGTACGTAGATCTGGAATCACGGCATGGGTGCCACTCGCCCGCGGCTGCTGTCTGAACTAAATAACTCACCGCAGGGCTCATGGCCGTCTCTCCTTCGCCGCAGTTCGGGCCTTGGATGGGCAGGGCACGGTCGTTCACATCATCGGCGTAGCACCCGAGCGACTGCAATCCGCCGTCCCCCCGCACGTGGATGTTGTGTTTGTTTGTACAGGCATCACAAGAGAGTGGCGGGGAGGAGAAGGAGGAGCAAGAGGAGGAGGAGGAAAGCGTTGGTTGGGTGAGGCTTCAAGGCGATTGATAAACACCGACCAAAACCTTTTAGGTCTGCCCTTCGAGGAGGCGATCGATCGTGCAACTGACCTCCACGCGCAGCCATCAATCTTTCACCAACGTTGACGTGTCTCAGGAGGATACAATGCTATTTCCTTCGGAACTGATGGATAGATCGTCTACTGATTGTGCTTCGGTGACCTCGAGCAGACGCACAGACAGGTGCACGCACTATGTGAAAACTCATCAAACGACGATCAGCGAGCGGAAAAAACCAAACACGTAGAATGCATACCTGCACGAAGAAAAATAATAACTCTGCGCGCACCGGTCAGGGCAATTTGGGATTTACACTACGGCAATAAAGCCTATACAATAAGGAACATAACACAAGTGTAGACTTTACTATTACCATCCGAGACTACCATACTAAACCCTATACAATAAAAAACGCATTGAAAGAACTGGATTAAGCAACCGAAAAAATGCCCGGGGTAGGGGGATGGAGGGGGAGTAGTAGCAGCGTCCAGAAATCGGATCCGCGAGCCCTCTTTGGCAAGGCGTACGGAGGGATGCCAGAGAACGCACGGGGGTGCCATCGATTGTGATAAATGATTTCGCACTGGGGCGTTACACCATATCTCCGGTACCACCCACGTGGGATATCATCTCCGATTCCCATGCGATCATCGAGCTACGCGTCATTTCGACCCTGAACGTCAAATCGCACCAAGATGTGCGACATCACCGGTACGGTACGGTACGTGCTATCTCGCCGAACCGTGGGCTCTCCCGCATCGTTGGCGGTACGTGTGGGTAACTTCACCACGTACACCTATGGCTCTGGCGACGGCGGCAACGATTTCTGATCGCAAGAGGGACGTAAAGAGTTTGAATACAGGCAGAGACTTGCCCCCAACGAGGTGGCCCCAACAGGGATGTCAAGGACGATACGCGAGAGTGCGTAGAGACATGACAGGTTGAGTGTTTACGCAGAGGGAATGTAGGCTTACGAAGCCTTGCTTGCCTGATTGGTTGGCGGAAGGGGATGTCCGGGGGGCACACGCAAAAAGAAAATGGGTATCACGGCGGGGGGGGGGAGGGGGGTACGTACCTCGTAGGTGGGCTGGTCCTCCGCCTGATCCAGGCAGGTGGTGGCGCACAGGTCGCCGCAGGGCATGTGGTACATGTTGTGCTGATAGTCCAGCAACATGATCTCACCCTGTCATCGCGTCCAAAAAACAGCATCGGCAACGACAGCGTTGAGCACCAGGTGATAAATTGCGGAAACCCAAGTAAAATGGTAGTGTCCATCATCTCTTCAGGCACACTTGTTACTGCTGTGCAGTGCGCTCGTCCGTCCATCCATGCGGTGTAACCCAACCGGGCCAAATCATTCGGTGCTTGCCACCCCCGGTGCTCTGAAGCACAAGGCAAACACGTGGCTGCTGCTCGGAGATGGGAACGCGATTAGTAGATACGAGCAAAGCAACAATTTGATTTTAATCGAGAAAAAACATACCACACGTCTTCGCTTACGTTGGAGGAAAACAATACACAGCACGTGATCGCTTCTCACGTCCAAATCCTTACGTTTGAGGAACACGACAATCAGCGCCTGTTTGTTCGGCCCCTCATCTTACGTTGACATCCTCGGCGAAGCTGACGATCTGCACGCTCGCGTCGCTGATGATTGTGCCAACCGCCCAGCCGTCCTCTTCTTCCCTCAGGAAGTAGATGTTCCTGATCATCAACAATATCACGCCAACAAGGATATATGGCGCCAAGATGTGGAGATCACCTTCTGCATGAAACGTGTGTCGAGGACGATCTCCTCTTTCACATGGACACAGAAACTACACCCCGAGGTGGACCAGAGACTCAGTGAGCCGGCCGAGCTGAATGAGTGTGTGCAACACAGGCCATTCGGGAAAACGCGTGCGCATGCATGTGCGCCGCTGGAAACGCCATCATCAGTAGCAGGAGGAAGACCGACGAGCCAAGTCCTTGGCTACAGGTCAGTCCATGGTAACGATCCAACGACTACAGCATGCACGGATATGAGTGCACCCCCACCCGCCGGCGAGGTGGTGTATGATCTACCAGCAACACGGCATCCTTATGTCCCCCCCCCCCTCCGCCACGTACTTCATGGTGCTGTCCCCGAAGATGTAGGCGCCGTCCAAAAGGTCGGAGAAGAAGTTGCCGCGGTACACGTAGCCCCCGATGACGCAGTTCCCCACCACAAACCGGTCCCCGCAAGTGTCGGCGCCCCCGGTAAACTCCTGTTCGTCCGCGTC